AGATACACCACATTAATAAATAGCAATAAATAATTAAAAAGGTTAAAACAACAATCATGACTTATAAGCAAGAACAATGGACTGAGGTGCGATATGGGAGAAGGCGTGGTCGACACCCCTACCATACTAATCAGCAGTACCAAACGGGGTCGTGGGGGACGGGGAACAGGGGGATGGACCGTGCACCTCCTGTCTCCTATTCTAGGAGACAGTCCCCCTATTCCCGTAATCCTAACCCTAACCTCTAACCCTAACCCTAACCTAAACCTTTTTGTGCCCATAGCCTGAAGAAGACCCACAGCGGTCGAAACGTCGCGACTGGGCGCTTTTTTCACACCTTATTCTTCAATTCTTCATTTTGATATACGTTTTATTTAGTTTTTTGACTTTTATTTCCTTTTATTTCATTTTTATTTCACAAAAAAACAAAAAAAGCATAAAGAAAATAAGAACAGTTCATTTATTTGGTTATACTGTTTTGGTTTTAAATACCTTGATTTGAATAAATAAATAAATTAGATAGATAAATACACCGATAAATAAATAGATAGATAGAGTTTAATAAATGCACCACATTAATAAATAGTAATAAATAATTAAAAAGATTAAAAACAATCATGAATTACAATGAGCAAGAATGGACTGAAGTGCGATAAGGGAGAAGGCGTGGTCGACGCCCGTAGCGCACAAATCAGCAGTACCACACGGGGTCGTGGGGGACAGGGAACAGGGGGATGGACCGTGCACCTCCTGTCTCCAATTCTAGGAGACAGTCCCCCTTTTCCCGTAATCCAAACCCCTACCCCTAACCCTAACCCTTGTGTTAAGCTGTGTTTTAAGTGTTGTTTTAAAGAGTTTGGCTTGTTGTTATGAACATTGTTTGTTTTGGCGAGTTTGAAGGTTTTTGAGCAAGTGTAATGGCATGAATGTTGTGAATTAGATAAGCCTTGTGTTAAGCTGTTGTTTTAGTGTTCTTTTGATGAGTTTGGCTTGTTGTTTGTTATGGCGATTTTGAAGGTTTGTGAGGATGTAGTATGGCACGTATGTGTTGAATTGGTTACCCCTTGTGTTAAGCTGTGTTTTAAGTGTTCTTTTAAAGAGTTTGGCTTGTTGTTATGAACATTGTTTGTTTTGACGAGTTTAAAGATTTGTGAGCATGTGTAATGGCATGTATGTGTTGAATTAGTTCACCCTTGTGTTTAGATGTATTTTTAGTGTTCTTTTGATGAGTTTGGCTTGTTGTTATGAGCATTGTTTGTTTTGGCGAGTTTGAAGGTTTTTGAGCATGTGTAATGGCATGAATGTGTTAAGCTGTTGTTTTAGTGTTCTTTTGATGAGTTTGGCTTGTTGTTATGAACATTGTTTGTTTGGGCGAGTTTAAAGGTTTGTGAGCATGTTTAATGGCATGTTTGTGTTAAGGTGTTGTTTTAGTGTTCTTTTGATGAGTTTTGGCTAGTTGTTATGAACATTGTTTGTTTTGGCGAGTATGAAGGTTTTTGAGCATGTGTAATGGCATGAATGTGTTGAATTAGTAAGCCCTTGTGTTAAGATGTATTTTAAGTGTTCTTTTCAGGAGTTTGGCTTGTTGTTATGAACACTGTTTGTTTTGGCGAGTTTGAAGGTTTTTGAGCATGTGCAAGGTTGACTTGCTCGTCTTTGCCCAGACGGTCTTCGCACTGACGGGCCCACGCACAAGGGCTGGCGCCCAAGGGTCACGAGGCTCACAGTTAGCTAAGCGGCTAACGCTAACCTGCCTTGACAACACTATGTGTGAAATTGTTATTTACTGACCTTAGGGTTACACCAAATCCCGCTTCTTCTCGTTGTTTCATCCGTTCTTCTTCTATATGATGACAACATTATCCAAAAGCCGTCAACTTAGTGCAGAACACAACTTATTCCTCCATCGTTGACCCGGCCTCTCGGCTGCCGTACGCGGCCCACCTGAGCGAAGCAGGGTCCGCGCTCGGCGACGACACAGGCGGCGGAAGATGGAGTCCCCCTTCTCCACGGCCCCCCATAGCCGCCAACATCAAAACAAAAGTCCCCTTCAGTCTCCCCAGGTTTACAAAGATATTACATTCAAGGCCCCAGGGTCAAAAACAGCAACTTTAAACAGTCATATCGACATGGTCAACAAATGCCAACATGCAACAAATAATGTTGACATTTCTCTTGTTTTTCTGCAGCGTTTCATGTTTTCTCCACAAGATGGCGACAGATCATCATCATTGTTGCACAGGGGAAACTTGTGCATGGACAGCTGTTGGAAATTACTCTAAACTTGCCAATCTGGAGTGACAGATTAATGCAGCAATGAAGTCTAATGTCAGGTCAACATGGAGGATTGTTGTTGCCTGATTTTTCGGCAGAGGTTTTAGGGGTAACCTGTTGAAATGTGCTCACATCTTAAAGGTGCCTACAGTGCACAGTATTTGGTATTTAAATGCATGTATTAAAAACCTGATTATCTAAGTTTTTCTGGGGTCTTCATTAACTCAGAATGAGCCATGTTTCTACAACAGCACAGAAGGGACAAAACAGAGATTTTTTAAATTTACTGCAAGGCTGTCCTAAACTGCTGCGCAACTTAAAGAAGGAAGAACTCTCAGTCTGCTGTTTTTCCTGTTTTTCATGAATCATCCTGACAGCAAATCATGCATATACAATCCACCTGCAGCCACAGAATCCTCAGGTATGACCTTCAGGTAAGCTGACAAAGAGGTGCCCTTTGGGTCAAGTATCGCTTATTTGAGTTAAATATCAGCGGGTCTGTTAACAATGATAAGGAAAGGATATTAGAGTTTTGTTATAATTACTTCTCTCTTTAATAAACTAAATCTGATCATAATGCTATGTTGTCATTCTTTCATTATGTAAACGTAGACCCTATTAGAGCCATGTTTAAAGAACAGAAGGTCCACACGAATTTTACCAAGCTTTACTGGTTGCAGATCTGGGTTACAGCTTCATCCTGCCACAAGTGTAATAAGACTGGTCTGAGACTGTTCAAGTCTATATAGCCATCCACTTTTCCAAACATTCTGCTTGCATCTTATCGACCTGAAGGAAAGTCCATGTAGGGTAATAACTAAGCACCACATATTTTGGGAACCAGAGTGATGTTAAACATGGGTACAAGGTCCTTGTTGAGGATGGTTGTCAGAGGCCCACAGCTCCAGAAATCTAGCACCAAAGTATTTGAGTGACACAGCTCCTCCACCATCCTAAAGGATGACCTGACTGGCTAAAGAAAATCACCCTCACAAGCCATCACTCACACTCAGAAGTTGGTCCATGATTCCCTAATCAGCCAGCAGGAGATGCCAGACACAATTTTAAATCTTCAAAATAATACATCAACCGGGAATGAATGAATGAATGAATGAATGAATGAATGCATCAGCTCTGATTTTCATTGAACAGTTTTCTCATCTGTTGGCACCATTTCTTTTTAGAGATGCATAACTGTTAAATAATGATAAGGTATTTGATCAAGTCTTTGCAAAGCAATTTAAAGGACTTCTGGACTCATAATCGATGACAATCAATCAGACTTCGTGAGTAAAAGGCACATTTTTAATAACCTTGGACTCTTTTTGGATTTGATTGATTGACATTTTGGATTTGGGGGAATATTTTTGCTATGCATTGCAATGAAAACTCTTAACACAAAACATTTCAGCCACCACTAAACAGATCAACAGACACACAGCATCCCTGCCGTACTCCTCTCTCCTGGTAGAATCTCTGTAGTAACAACACCACTCAGTTTTACAGAGCTGTTACCATTTGTATAAAAAAAAACATTCATATCAGCAACAAAACCTATCTCTTTAAAAGAAATGGGGAGCCAACAGATCAGAAAACCAAATGAAATTCAGAGCTGATGCGTCATTCATTCCAGGGCGATAGGTTTAAAATGGCGTCTTGCACCTTCTGCTGGCTGATTAAGGAATTACACACCATCTTCTGAACGTCAGTGATGGATCTAATAGAATCTACACATAGACTGTATATAATAGTCTTATATACAGTCTATGAGTCTACATTTAAGTCTGTATGAATGCCTCTTCCAAGCCAGTTTCTAAGGAAAAGAATTTTATTTTATGTGTAGTATATGTCTCCGTTGTTCCATAGATAATACCTGCGAGGGGAGAAATTGTGTTTGCAGACAATTTTCCATGCAAGTCAGACCTGTTTATGGAACTATGACATTTGTAGAGGTATTTTATTCATCTGGTAATTGCACACCAACAGGAAAGTCCATCAGTTTGGGTAAATACAAATGTAGGGATAAAGTTCCAGAAGGATGAGCTATTTTATTTTATTTTATTTTAATATATATATATTAACATACTGCCGTATTCCTCTGTCCTCATTAGACGTTAAATACTCTAATGAGGAGTTTATCCCGAAGTTTGATTTTCCCGTTACAGTACATTCAATCAGGTAACTGTCACCTTGTAAATTCATTTAACACCGTCTGTCTGTGGAAAAGTCTGTTTCGGATCACACAAACGACTAAAGAGTCATTTGGAAACTTGTGACTTCAGGGTCGCGTGTGAAGGTGGGAAATTTCTGTGTCCGACTCACCTCATACTGAAGGAGCCGGGAGCACTAACTACCGACAAAGCTGCCGCAGAGTTGGTACAGGAGTGAAACAAACGTGGCCGCAGGTATCCCCACACCTGTGTACTCACACACGGGGCGGGGACAGTTTACCGAGATGTTCACGAGCCAGCTGAGGACTCGTTTCTTCTGATTGACGCGCTGGAAAACGACGCAGAGAGGCTTGAGACGATAAGATAGGAAAAGTTACACGATGTACCTGAACGCATCACGAATATCAGTTTAATTTAATATGAACGCTTGTTTTTGTTGTTTTTGTTTGTAGTCCGTGTGTGTTTGGCTTCAGTTATAGGATCTACAGCTCTTTTTCTGTGAGTTTACAACCGTTTAATGGCAGAAAAATAATAGACATATTCAGGATTACATTGAATGGATCATATGTTCATGTCTTGTTTAGTTGCACTGATGTGAATCCTGCAGCAGCTGAGTGCACAGCAAAGACAGCCTCCTGTAACAGTGTCTCCCTGCAGCCTGTTATCACATCCCTGGTACGACTCTTATGATCATATTTCAGACACTAACACTCATTCTGTGCGAGAATTAGGATCAGTAAAGCAGCTCTCCTCTCTTTTAGGTGGACTCTCTTCTGCTACGTCTCAGTGGGAAAGTGGACGTCCTGCTTTTTAACCCTCCATATGTGGTGACCCCTTCAGAGGAGGTGGGACAGCTCATTACAGGAGTTAATTTAGAGTTTATTGAAGAGGATATTGAAAGGTCTTGTATGGTTATTTCAGGTTGGAAGCAGGGGTATAGAAGCAGCCTGGGCTGGTGGAAAGCGAGGCCGAGAGGTCACAGACAGATTCCTGCCTTTGGTATCTGAGCTGCTCTCCGATAAAGGACTTTTCTACCTCATCGCCATCGCTGAGAATGATCCAGGTAAACATGAAGCCGTCCTCCTCAGGTTGATTTTAAACGTGGTTACAGTTTAATCGTGTGTTTATGATCGGCCTGATGGACAAATGCGACGAGAGCTGGGAATGAGAGGCTGTCGGTGCTGCGCTTCCACCGAAGATAGACATTCAAGTATCCCTGATGGACTTCACCAAGGACTGCCTTTAAGAGACAATAAGAATATCCCATAATAGTGTAACATTCACAGTATGCAGGAGATATTTTTGACTACTTAGAGTGATTCTGCAGAATTTTTACCAACAAAATCAGCATTTGAATAATAACAGAAAGGTTACAGCCATAAAGACTTTTAATTATTCACTTTCTTTTACATATTCCACATGGAAATCATGACAAATGTGACTTATTAAGACTAAAGACATTAACTCCAGTGTAAGTAACTTTTCTGAAAAGCTACAAAAAGGAATGTAGTTTGTGTTTCAAGTATTAACTTCTCTACACATGACTCTGAAATGCTGCTTTTTCTCATGTTTATGATCAACCACTATTGATCTGAAAAGCTGATCTTGTCCTCTATTTTTTTCTCTCTGTTAATGTGATTTTTCTTCATCCTTTGCTTCTTGATTTAGTGTCTTTCTTGTGTGTTTAAACTGTTTTTTTTAGAGATGATAAAATGCTAAGACTTTCTTTTAACAGCTCTGTTTTCTTTAACTTTTCAACTTCCACTCGATGTGTCCGTCCTCTGCGAGCCTGACCGCTCCGCTGGCCACCAGCTCCATGGCGGCGGGGAAAGCTCTGTGCTCGGCCTCCCTGATTCGGTCTGACAGACTCTCCTCTGTGTCTCCGCTCAGGACGGGGACGGCCTCCTGCACGATGATGGCTCCGGCATCCACCTCTTCCTGAAGGACAGACGAAGGAAAAAAAAAGCCTCAAAACTCAGCTGGTTATCAAAAAACAACCTCATATGTCTAAAGTATGATTTACTCACAGCTACAAAGTGCACCGTGCAGCCTGCGACCCTCACTCCGGCCTGTAGAGCCTGTTTCTGTGCGTTCACGCCCTTAAACGAAGGCAGCAGGGACGGGTGGATGTTCAGTAACTTTCCTGAAACGTTAACAAACAAAACATAAAAGACTGTCAGGTGATCATGTCTTATTTTGAAGAAATCTCCTCCAGCTCCTTCATACCGTTCCATTTCTTGACAAAAGGTCCCGTGAGGATCCTCATGAATCCAGCCAGACACACCAGCTCCACGCCAAACTCCTCCAGCACGCGGTCGATGGTGCCGTCGAACTCTGCCCGGCTCCCGTACAGTTTGTGGTCCACAACCTCGAGACGCATCAACAGAACTTGATGAACTAGTTATCGTTTTAGATGTTATCTAAATAAAAGTCAATATTAGCGTGTTTATTCACCCGTGTTTGAATGCCGGCCAGCGACGCTCTCTTCAGGCCTTGAACTCCAGGTCTGTTGGAGATCACGACCACGATTTCTGCAGAGCTGGACGGGCGCTTGGCGTGCTCTATCAGCGCCTGCAGGTTGGTGCCTGTGAGAGTAAAGAGTGAGACAAACTCCTATAAACGAGGGTGACCATGTTAGAGGATACAATAACACAAGGGGGCGGAGTCACAAAGTCACACTGAGTTCATTTTGAGAGTTTTTCCGTTCAGATCGAGTGTCTTTTATGAGCTTCTAACTCAGTAAATCCACATGACACAAAACCGCGGACATTTGGAGGATTTTAGAAACGTCCCCAGACAAGCCTGGACAGCCCCCAAAAAAGAGGACATGTCCGGGTAAAAGAGGACATATGGTCCCCCTATAAAAACCGTGTTCATGTCAGTTTGCACATTTATCGAACACACCTGTCCCAGAGATCAGAACTCCCACTCTGGTCTTCTTCTGAGGCGTCCCATTGTCACCATGGCAACCATCATTCTCCCCAACAACCGCCTCCTCCTCGATGGATGCTGGTCCTTCTTTCAGCAGGCTGTGTTTCAGGTTGCGGACCACCACAGGTTCTCCCCCTGAGTAGAGAAAAACAATCATCCCTCTCTTCTCGCACCTCTCTTTAATCCGACTACTGTAGCGGCAGATGATGGTCTAACACAAGTCTGGTTCTGCTCAAGGTCTCTGCCTGAAACTCAGGTTGAAACTCAGGCCCTAACTGCTTTATTCTCAGACTCTAACTCAGCTGTTACACTCCGTCTGGATTTTCCATATTTCTGCGTCTTACCGGGCTGCTTGTGGGCGAGAGAACCCACGATCCAGGCCTCTTCTTGTGCTTGAAGCTGGCGCAAGACCCTCTGAGCGTCCAGAGGTGAGACCACCAGCACTGCCCCCAGGCCGCAGTTGAAGGTCCGGGCCATCTCCTCCTCGCTCAGATTCCCCTCTTTGTGGAGCCACGAAAAGACGGAAGGGACGCTCCATCGAGACGCGTCTGAGTCGTAGAGAAACACAGAGGGGAGGGGGTCAGACAGTGACCCCAGACTGAGCTGAAAAGGGTGGATTCAGCACATCTACATGTATTTAAACAAAAAACACACGAACCAGCCTCCGAACATTTACTGATGTTGAAGAAGGTTAAAAGAAAGTCAGAGCGCTTTCATCTCACCCAAATCCACAGCCAGCTCTGAAGGCAGCACCCGCGGGATGTTCTCCAGCAGTCCTCCTCCTGTGATGTGGGCGTACGCTTTCACAGCTCCACTGCGGAGGATCGGCAGCAGCGGGCGGCTGTAGATCTTTGTCGGAGTCAGCAAAACCTCGCCTGGGAGCAGAGTACGGGGTCAAATAAGGTGACGGTGTGACGAACGAAGATTTCCACGATCGATGAACTCAAATCAGCTCAAAGATGTGAGTGACGGTGAAGCTGACGTACCTACGGTCTGTCCTGTCTTCCCAAAAGGAGCAGGCGAGCTGTAACTGAGTCCCGCTCTCTCCAGGACTTTGCGTACCAAGCTGAACCCGTTGCTATGGACCCCGGATGAGGCCAACCCGATCAGCATGTCCCCTTCTGCGATGTCCCCGAGCCGGGGAAGCAGGGCCTCCCGCTCCACCGCTCCCACGCAGAACCCGGCCAGGTCGTACTCTCCTGCGGCGTAGACGCCCGGCATCTCCGCCGTCTCGCCACCTGTGAAGCAAAAAAAATAACATGTAAAGCGTGACCATGAAGGGGAGAAATAGAACAAACAGCCGCCGCTGCCAACGCCTCGCTCACCCAGCAGAGCACAGCCGGCCATCTCGCAGGCTTTTGCAATACCGCCGATCACAGAGGCGGCCACGTTCACGTCCAGGCGGCCGCAGGAGAAGTAATCCAGGAAGAAGAGCGGCTCGGCGCCTTGAGCGAGGACGTCATTCACACACATCGCCACCAGGTCCTGACCGAGACCGCCGTGCTGACCGCACGCCTGAGCGATCTGAAGACAAAGTAAACAAAGACATTAAAGCAGCTCAGAGAAAGACTCGTTTTGAATCTTCAAATCAAGTCGCACCTTCAGTTTGGTTCCAACGCCATCCGTCCCCGACACCAGGATGGGGTCGACGAAACCTGCTGCCTTCAGGTCAAAGAGCCCCGCGAAGCCTCCGAGCTCGGCGTTACAGCCTAGAGAGGAAAAACAAATGACTGCCGTGGTTTCTGTTTGAGCGTCTATAAATAACCAAATCCACCGGCACTTCCTTCAACTCGAAACACTTTGATATAAAAATTTACTCATAATAAAAGAGTTTGTCTCTTAATGAAATAAAAGGCTTCAGTCCCTCCATCTGCTGTTTTCTTAAAGATACAAGCGTCTTCAGTTTTTAGATACAAGTATGGAGTTACCGGCTCGAGACGTCGCCTTAGCCAGAGGTTTGATCATGTCCACCAGCCTGTTACCCGCAGCAATGTCCACCCCACTGTCCTTGTAGGTGAGACCTCTGTCAGAGACACACAGTCATGTCAGCGAGACACGCGATCGGTCTCTTACAGGAGGATTCAGACTCGTTCAAACAAAGACAAACACGCTGATTTATGCAAAGTCACGGGCTTTTATTTTGAAAAGACTTTAAAAACCAGAAAGAGGAATGTGGTAGTGTTTCAGTGTTTGGGTTATTCTCAGCCCCGTTACGCTCTCACACACACCTGTGTTGGTTCAGGTGAGCGATGGCTCGGTGGCCGATGTCTCGGCGGTACACGGCGCCCGGGAAGCCGACGGCAGCCACGCCCTGATTGGCCGCTTTCAAGGCCGCCTCCAGAGAGGGTTTGACTGCTGTGACGGTGAGGACCCGGCCCCCGCTGGAGACCACGCTGCCGTCTTTTAAAGCGGTGCCGGCGTGGAAAACCTGCAGCCCTGAGTCCTGAACCTGGGACAAACCTGAGGACCAAACGGAGGAGGTTACACACCCAGCGTGACCTTAATGTGTCTCACAGAACCTGCTTCCTCCGACATGTACCTGTGATCTGCACTCCTTTCTTATAGGAGCCGGGGTAACCTTCACTCGCCATCACCACGGTGACTGCAGAGCTGTCCTGGTGCCACACGGGGGCGCTGGAGGCCAGTCTGCCGTTCATGGTGTTCAGGATCACCTCGTACAGGTCGCTCTTCAGGAGCGGCAGTATCACCTGAAGGAGCGACAACAGCGGGTTTGTACAATCTGCTCTTATTTGCTCATGTGGTGGATGATAGAGGAGGAGGAGGAGGAGGAGGAGGAGGAGGAGGAGGAGGAGGAGCCCACCTGACACTCAGGGTCTCCAAAGCGGCAGTTGAACTCGAGGACCTTTGGCCCCTGCTTGGTCAACATCAGGCCTGCATACAGGACTCCTACAAAATAAAAGCAGAGTGGTTAAAGCGAGCCACTGTCTGTAAGAAAACTGTCATATTTCTGTGATCATTGAGCCCACTCCAGATCCAGATGAGCCGTCCACTCACCCACATAAGGAGCCCCCTCCTCCTTCATCCCGTCCACGGTCTTCTGAAGCACCGTCTCTTTGATCTGCTGCAGCAGCTCCTGACTCACCTGCAGAGTCCAGAGTCACAGCAGCACAGAGATCATTAATGACGTCTTCTTCAATCCTGTAAAAGACTCAGAGGAAACGTCAGAGAGGTGTACCTGAGGGGTGGGACAGTACGCTCCCATGCCCCCGGTGTTTGGTCCCAGGTCCCCGTCCTGCAGCCGCTTGTGATCCTGAGCTGGAGGCATGGGAGACACGGAGGAGCCGTCGCTGAAGCACAGACACTAGAAGAGGAGAAGAAGGAGGAGATGAAGACAAAACAAACATGTGTTTACGGTATAAAAGTGTCGACCGGTAGAAACCGTGTGACGGTATAAAAGTGTTTATACTTTATACCAGAGAGAGAGAGAGAGAGAGAGAGAGAGAGAGAGAGAGAGAGAGCGCAGATGTCTGCTGCATCTCTCTGAGTCAGTGTGTGGTTGTCTGCGCTCGCTAACAGGAAAGCTGGAGCGAATCAGTTTGGGTGCGTTTCCGTATATATATTCACCAGCGTGTCTTGCGGGGTTATTTGCTCAGTTTGATTGGTCAGGTTTGGGTGCGCTCCCTAGAATCACCAGCGTGTCCAGCAGACTGCCTGGCACAGTTTCGACGAAGAAGAAGCAGCAGCTTCACTCGAGGTGGTCATGGTGGACACGGAGATCAGTGGCAGTACTGAGCAAACGGAGGCAGCCCGACCCACCCAACATGAGGAAGAGGAGGAGGAACTCAGTGAAAGAGCGTTGTGTGGCTGTCATTGCTGGAGGAGGAAACACCAACAACCTCTTCCACCACCTAAAGATGAAACACGCCAAGTTCTATCATGGAGGCCAGAAGATGTGTGGAGCACCCGCTGCACCGAAAACTAAAGTTGCAGCAGCTCCTCTCATACGAAAGAGCTCGGCAGAGTCTTTTTCCAAAGGTACACCTTTGATCAAAAATCTCCAGACTGGTCTGACATCCTGTTTGCATTTGTTTACAAATCAGAGTTTAAAAATAAAAGGAAAATGAACAAATGCGACAGTACGGTTATTTTTAAGCCATTAATTGAATTTAAAGGGGAAAAAAAACATACGGTGAAATGAAATCACTCACACCGTGATCTAAGATTTTGTTCATACCGCCCAACACTACATGTGTCTCAATACTCACAGACACTTCCTCTCCCTCTAGGAGCTCCTCCACCACCACAGTGTCTCCTGCAGCTCCAAAGGCTCGGTCCTAAACACAGGAAAATCTATGTTTTATACATACATGGTAGAGTATGTAGAGTCATATTTCAGCATATAAATAAAAGATTAAGTCTTCATTTTGTACCCTAACGTATCTTTTTTCATTTCCTCCCTTCTCTGATTACCAAAGTCAAAGAAAAACAACAAGTAACTCTTCCAAACCTTCATGATGTCCATCACAGCCTGACAGGCCTCCTCCGGGTCCCTCGCCACGATGACTCCCTTCCCTGCTGCCAGCCCGCTGGCCTTCACCACCAGCGCTGGGAAGTCGGCCCTGGAAGAGCCCAGAACAATCAAACAAACTCAACACCCATTCGCAGGAAAACACATCTGGAACAGATGGTGAATGCCTGATACGGAGCATCAAATGTTTGTCTTTTGTGGACCATTTAACTTCGGCGGCGCGCGGTATTGTTTGTCTGGGATGTGTATGGATGGAGGCTGTCAGAGCGTGGCAGCTGTTCTGCTCGAGATGCTTTATACGACCGGAAGAAATGACTTTCAGCGAGTGTGAAGGACTTTTTCTTTGTCTTTAAAAGTTGAGAGCGGATTGTTTGTGTGACGTCTCATCGGAGCGCAGTCATCACATCTTCCCTCGTTAACTCGCGACTCTGTCTGAGGGAAGAAAACTCCTCTAATGGCTTCGTTTTGAGAGATGCTGACATTTCCCTCTGTTGAATGGCTCTTCGTAAAGAAAACCTGAGCTGTGAGTCAGTCTGAAGTGTCTGCTGCGTGTGCTTCACTGACGTGCGGATGTATTTGCAGGCCTCCTCCGGGTCGGTGAAGGAGCCGTAGCGGGCTGTAGGGATGCCGTGACGCTCCATGAAGGCCTTGGAGAAGCTTTTGCTGGCCTCCAGCTGGGCCGCTTTAGCAGACGGGCCGAAACAGGGGACTCCAGCTGCTGTCAGGTCGTCCACAATACCTGCAGGAGGTGTTCAAGTAAAGAAAGAAACTGGAGTAGAACGATCCAAACACAAAGTTAAAGAGCTGATATATTCGATGTCACTGACCTGCTGCAAGCGGCACCTCAGGTCCAACCACGACCAGGCCCACATGGTGGTCCTTACAGAACTGAGCCAAGATGGCGTGATTACTGACTGATACCTCTGCATGGAGGCAAAGGGAGGGAGGTGATTAGGACGATTTTAAGTTCCCTGTTGCTAGTAAAGACGATTATGTCATTAACTCATTAAGAACATGAATTAACATGTAACGACGTGTCCTGCTGCTCCATCTGACATCAGAACATCTACAATCAGAGGCTATTATGTGCTAATGTGATAACATTACCATAGATGTTATCATCAACTTGTGACTTCAGTTTAAAAGGAATATTCCGGCGTAAAATTAATTTAACGGTCAAACACACAGTAACACTGAGTTAGACACCCTGTCGAGAGATGAATGTTGCCGACCGCTTGCTTCTCTAGTTATACCGACTTTAGTAACGACCGCAGGATAGAAATACACAGCGGGCTGAGGAGCCATAAACAAACCTCAACCAAAACACAACAAATAATGCTCAGAACAGCACCTAACTTCATCAACAGGACATACAGGGTCCCAGACATAGTACAAGCCACCAAACATCTTTTTAACTTTGACTTATTTCTTTATCAAAGAGACTAAACACAACTCACCTACTCTCCTCCAGTAGCCGCTTGTTTGTAGCGAGACCTCGGGCCATTACAGACTACAGCGGGGTGACGCAGCTCAAGGAAGAACATTTATGATCATTTCTTCAGGGAAATGCAACCAGACTGAGACGCTAAGACAGAAGAACTACTGTGTCTGCAGTGCAAGATGATGAATATGGTGATTTTCACTTCAAGGAAATTATAAAGAAATGATCATAAATGTTCTTCCTTAAGCTGTCTCACCCCGCTGTAGTCCGTAATGGACTGGCCTGAGGTCTCGCTACAAACAAGCGGCTGCTGGAAGAGAGTAGGTGAGTTGTGTTTAGTCTCTTTGATAAAGAAATCAGTCAAAGTTAAAAAGATGTTTGGTGGCTAGTACTATGTCTGTGACCCTATATGTCCTGTTGATGAAGTTAGGTGCTGTTCTGAGCATTATTTGTGGCTATAGAGTGGTGTTTTAGTTGAGTGCGTAGCTCTCTGTATTGCTCTCCTGCGGTTGCCACTAAAGTTGGTATAACTAGAGAAGCAAGCGGTCGGCAACATTCATCTCTTGAGGGGGGTTGTCTAACTCAGTGTTACGGTGTGTCATTCATTTTACGCCGGAATGTCCCTTTAAAGCTCATTTGAGGAACTTTGAATGTGTGCTGACTCTGGCGCTTCCTTGTGGACAAAAAGGGAAGCTCTTTCTTTACCAATGTTGATTAAAAATGTCATCATGCCCAAAACATGATAATTGTTGAATTTTCTAATATTTCATCATAAGTCAAAAACTCCTCACTGGAGCTTTAACTTCAGGTGTTCAAGTATTTACCAGAGTTGCTAATCTTCCCACAGTTCGCCGTCCCTGCGTTCCCAGGAGCCACCAGGACCTGTTGAATCTGCTCCGACTGCGCCAGCTTCCAAGCCAGAGCGTGCTCCCGTCCACCGCCGCCAACCACCAGCACCTTCTCTGCCATCGTACCTGACAATAGATGATAACAAACTTCAGCACAGAGCACCCTCAAGGCCGATCAGCCGACACGTGTCATTCTCCTCTCCTCTCAGTATTCATAAAGAAAGTGTTTAATTGAATGCAGAAATTGACCTATAAGGAAAGGACTTCTCGGAGCTGTGAGGGAGCGCTGACCTTTTCCGACGCCTGGGGTCTTATATTATCTTGTAATGCCACACTGACACAGATCCAATCGAGTGGAACAGAAACACAAGTCAACAATTAAATGGCGTGGTCACCGGGCTAGGCCAAATCACCGGCTACTGCACACAGGCGCTCATTTGCATAGAAAAACAAAGCAATTATCAGGATGATGTACAGAAAACCTTGAGCTTCTTTGTCTCATATTCACCAAAAACACACAGACAGGGTGAAACCTACAACTATTTACTCTGTTTTATTCACATTTGAGAGAGATGTAGCAGATTTTCACTTCTTAATCATTAAATCACAATAAAAGTAGAGGAAAGTTGTCAAGATTTCACCACAAAGGAGCTGAAAAAGATGATTTCATGTGTTTGTTTGCTCTGCAACAACAACAACCAGCTCCAATGATCCTGCAGTGACCTGGACTCTAAATATTGTGCAACTGCATACGTCGCTAAAGTAAAGATCTATATGTTCAGACTGACACATTGTCTAAAAGCTGCATGCACACAGTACAAAAGGCCGAGTGTTGCACAGTGGGCGCACAAGCCCCTCAATTAGACAAATAAGAGGCTGTGATTTGAAGCACCAGGCTCATGTGACTCACATGTTAGAGAGCAAATCAGACGCATGAGTTTGATTAGAACTTTTTTTTTCATTAAATAAGTGGTTTATTCTTTTCTTGTTCCCTTAATGCAACTAAAAACAGAGGATTAAAGTGTAAAAATCAACTCATAAAGGATCTAACTCAAGCATCTATCACCAGTGAGATTCCATATTCATAATTATGAAGTTTTCCTTAAAGTAAATACTCAATATACACAGTTTATACACAGTTTAACATGCTTAATTAAACTCTTACCTGTGTGTTAGTGGATGTTGTAAAGCAGGAATTAGCCGGAGCCCAGTCAGGTCAGGTCAGCACCGCAGTCTCAAGTGTCTCCTCTCTCTCTGCTCTCGACCTACTGACTGACCGGGGATGCAGAGTATGTTATCTCCTCTCACACACACGCATGACAAACCACGTGTATCCAATATATCACCATGATGTCCTAGCTGCTCTCAACGCCAACAAAAGCAACGTAAACTTAGCTACACGGCGTTTAAACAGCGATAAGTGTCATTAGATTCACGTTTTAACTAAATACGAGTCTTTTCTTACCCTTCTGAGCAGCTCGAGCAGTTTTGTGCAAGTTTTTGGAATATTTTAACTTCCGCGGGGTGTTACTATCGAGTGCATCATGGGAGTTGTAGTCGCTCAAGTTTTCCCAATAAAACGTCTATCCAGGTGTTCCGGTTGAGAGAGCGACCCTGTTGGCCGGTGGCTCTGACTCAAACGGCAACCTGTAACCATGACAACCACAAGCATTCTTGGGTAAAAGTCGACAGCTAACACGGTCACTCGTTCAAACGGAACACCGGGTAACACTTTCACAAGAAGTTTGCGAGAAAACTAGGATTTAATGAATGCAAACGATTTTTTTAGTACAAATTCTCGTCATTGACATTCATTTTAGCACTCGTAGTTTAACCATAGAGTTTAATGTTGGTCCACTTTACTTTTTCCACATTAATTTTATTATTTTAATAAGTGGTATTTTTCGAATCATGTACAATTTAATCGTTTTAAGCTGTTAAATTGGTGGTAGACTGAGTATCTTTCAGAGGAAAAAACTCCATTAAAGTACAAATACCTCAAATGAAATTTATCACCTTTAAAGGAATATTCTGGCGTAAAATTAGGTTAGGCTCAAACACACCGCAACACCGAGTTAGACACCCCCTCGAGAGATGAATGTTGACAACCTTTTGCTTCTCTAGTTACACCAACTTTAGTAACGACTGCAGGATAGCAAAACAGAGAGTCACGCGCTCAACCAAAACGCCACTCTATAGCCACTAATAATGCACCTCACTTCATCAACAGTACAGATAAACTCACACCCACAGCACTAGCCATTAAACATCGTTTTAACTTTGCCAAATTTCTTTAGCATAGAGACTAAACACAACTCACCTACTCTCTTCCAGCAGCCGCTTGTTTGTAGCAAGACCTCGGGCCAGTCCATTACGGATTTCAGCGGGGTGACGCAGCTCAAGGAAGTTAGGTGCTGTTCTGAGCATTATTTGTAGCTTTAGTGCAGCGTTTTGGTTGAGCGCGTAGCTCTCTGTATTGCTATTGTGTGATCGTTACTAAAGTTGGTATAACTAGAGAAGCAAGCGGTCGTCAGCATTCACCTCTCAACGGGTGTCTTACTCGGTATAACGCTGTGTTTGACCCTGACTTAATTTCATGCCAGAATATCCCTCCGAGATTACTCAGCCCTTTTACTTGTATAAATGTGTCCAGTGAGTAAGATATTTTGAGACATTATAACTTTCTCAGCTCAATTTTGTAAAAACTTGAGTACCCCTGCTGCAGTTTTTCATCCACCTGCAGTACTTAACGCTGGCTGTGATGTGATTATGAATATAAACTGCTGATATAAGCTTTTAACTATGAGTATAATACAGCTCTGGATATTAAACTGGATCCAGGCCATTTATTGCTTTGAAAGAAATCAATACATCCTGAAAGTCGATCCAAAAGTGGGATTGTGGAGGGTGTAAAGTGGACAAACAGGGGCTGATCTTTACAGCCTGAGAGGACCGCGAATGCATCGCTCATTACAGCAAAACATTTATGAATAATTCAACTGTCATGTTGGGAAGTCTTGAGCAGGTTTCCTTTCGCTTAACACACTTTATTCAATTATCAGCTGCCACATGAAACTGTTTAGGAACTAAAGAGAAACAGGAAGAGTGTGTCTGGAAGATAGTCTTGCAGCTTCATCAGTTTCCCATGTTTTGTGCGCTTCTTTCTCGTAAAAACACTTACTTCACACATTACTTGCAAAGAAATCAATGTTTGTAAACGCAGTAATCAATAATTGTGACATTTTCTTCACTTTCTCTTTTACCTTTTGCCCCCATCTCCTCCAGGACGTGCTGGATATCAGCTGATCCTGACAAAAAAAAGGATCAATAAAGTGTCTCATCAGTTTATTTGTTAGATCACAATAAATTAAGTCCTCCTAAAGCTTCAAGTCTTGAGTCCAGGAGTTTCAGTCCAGTCACAGCAGAGGGAGCTCAGGAGCGTCGAGGAGTTCTTTCCCTAAGTCTGACTGTCGTAGAGCAAAAAGTGTGACACCTGAACTGTACGCTGCAGGGATGGTGATGTGTGTTCGCTTGGCTTCGTCGTCGTCTTGTTCCTCTTCTTGCAGCATCAGCTTCACTTGACCTAAGAGGGAGAAAACACTTTACAAACGTTGGGGTGCAGGGTGATGAATTTCTATGATTCACAGCAGCTCTACCTTCTACGTCCAGCGCTTTCCATCGCTGGTCAGATAAGCTGGACAAGGAGCAGTCAGGCGTGAGTCTCTGCAGGACGTCTTCTCGGCGGATCAGTAGCACAGATTCGCTGCAGAGTCTCTGGTGCAGCTCTCCCTCGCTTACTGATAAAAGCAAAAAGACTTAAATCAAACCAGTGGACCGGTTTTGTTTGAACTTCCCCAAACTTTTCCTCTAATGTTACTCACCGACATCTAAAGGATTGGTCATGAAAACAGCATGAGGCGAGACTCCGAATATGAGCTGATGGTGCCAGGCGTCAGGCACCTCCTCACCCTCAGGTACGGCCCGCTGCATGTTCATGGTGGCGACAGGGACAGCGCCTTTTCGGATCCAGCGCGCAAGCCAAGCGACGAGTCTGAGCAGGCGGCGTGGGTGAAGATGGAAGAAGCGACCCGTCACCTCGCCTTTACTGGCGTCCTCTGCGCCTTGGATGAGTTGAGCGTGAGTCGCACCTGAAGGAAGTTTTATGAATCGTTATTTCAACTCTAAATGATCCTTCTCTTTATGTCAAAAGACAAATGAGTACAGGGTTTATTCTCCTCCACTTAGACCTTCCCTCTGTGTGATGACAGCTTGAGTTAAATGTCTGAAATGTCATTGTAAAAAATGGTGTAAGATGGCTGAAAAAGTCAATTACAGTGGCTCCTCTGAGAGACATAAACCTCTTTGTCTAATTCAAGAGGGTGCTTTTGAATTCGCCTGCTTGGTGATGCAGCCAGCTGTCACGCTGGCAGGGAGCTGTGCTTACGGGTTCGAGACGAAGCGAAGCCTCAATCAGCGAGGAAGTTAAAGTCTCCGCTGGCATCTGTGACGCCACATGTATTACTGTCTGCAGAGAAACCTACCTATACTAAAGTCTTCCTTTGTGCAGTTTGAGTCCATTACCTGAAATGTCACAGGATACTTTGGGGAGAAAAGATTCGATCTCAGAGCCAAAGGTTTATAATTTTATAACTGCCAATTAAGTGTCTGCTCTAAAGCTGCAGGAAACTTTACAACACATACAGAAGAGAGTTGTCGCTTCCTCTGCCAAACCCACAGCAGACATTTAAGCTGTATGATTACAGCCAACATTTTAATCATCAGTAGGTCACAACTACTTATCGCTTTGAAAGTCTTTTTTTTTAAACTGTTGACCTACTTTAAAAACATGTACTTCCTGCCTATAACTGCCAGGACTGGATTAAGACAAAAAAGAAATGTGCGCCGGCTCTTTTGGCCGACACCAGCCCTAAACATTTGGTCAAATATAACATCAAGTATCATCAAGACTGAACATTTATAAGAAGACAACATTTTGATAAAAATACAGTCACTATCCAATTATAGGTGTGACCCACAGACCTCAGACTTCTACGCTTGTGTCTATATTTGATTATACAGTATCTTTTCCATGCGTAGAGGACCTCTACTTTACAAACACACACCTCATCCTTTTACACATTAAAGTGATATTCCGGCATAAGTTTAATTTAAGGTCAAACACATCATAACACTGAGTTAGACACCCCCTCGAGGGATAAATGATGCTGACCGCTTGCTTCTCTAGTTATACCAACTTTAGTAACAACCGCAGGATAGCAATACACAGCGGTCTGAAGAGCCATAAACAAACCTCAGCCAAAACGCCACTCTATAGCCACAAATAATGCTCAGAACAGCACCTAACTTCATCAACAGGACATATAGGGTCACAGACAAAGCACTAGCCATCAAATATATTTTTAACTTTGCCTGATTTCTTTGGCAAAGAGACTAAACACAACTCACCTTCTCTCTTCCAGCAGCTGATTGTTTGTAGTGAGACCTTGACCAGTCCATTACGGACTACAGCGGGGTGACACAGCTCAAGGAAGAACATTTATGATCATTTCTTTAAGTAATAATCACCATATTAATTATTGTGCTCTGCAGACACAGTAGTTCTTCTACCATAGCGTCTCGGTCTGATTGCGTTTCCGTGAAGTTATGATCATAAATGTTCTTCCTTGAGCTGCGTCACCCCACTGTAGTCCGTAATGAGCTGAATGTCACACATGAAGAACTTTACATGTACCCTAAATGGAGTAAAGAAGTACATATTTAGGAGTATTTCATTGTTACAGGTAAACATCTCTGTGTATTCGCACGTTTACCTGCTTCACTCCGGGACAGCAGGTAGTCCGGAAGCGGGGACTCGTTCCTCCGCAGCCGCGTCTGGACGCAGCGGTCGACCTCCTCCGGGGTCACGTCCACACCGAGGGCCTTCAGCACGTCCACCACAGCTGTAGCCCCGCAGGCTGAAGCTCCTATCTGCAGGGTTTGCCTCTCAAAAGCCTCTTGAATAGACCACAACATAGCTCTCCCCCCCTCCTCGTCGTCCTCCTCTTCCTCCTCACCCCCGAGGTCTTGCCCACACACCCCCTCCATGGACTCACCTGTAAACAGTTCGACATTAAACGTAAAAACTACTAATTTCTTTTTTCAAATTATGTACCCGTTCTCAAAAATGGGTCCTTTATGTTTATAAGTAATTATGCGTTAAAAATTATCCATTTATGTGTCGTTTAATGATAATTTTTAGTGTTTTCTCACCATTCAACGAAAACAAACCGGACCAACTGACAACAGACAGTGCGCATGCGCCTACTTCTTCCTGTCTTCTACGCTTCTTCCACAGGGCAGAGCAGAGGCGCTCTGTAACAACTAGCGCCCTCCTATTGGATGAATCAAACAACAATTAAAAAAAAACCTTTCAATTAATAATTTGGCATCTTCTGCTTTTCATTTAAAACAGTTCAAGACCCTCTGCATCTGCTTCAATGTCATACACATGCAGAATAGTACAGTACATCCATCCAATCCCTGTGACAGTTCTCCATCCGGCCAGTAGATGTCAGTGTTGCTTTACTCAAACGCAGCAGCAGCAGCATGCAGAGCAGCACATGAGGTAACTCAGCAGATAAGTGGTGTCACTGTGGTGGATGCTGGGTGAAACAGCCTGAAGTGTGCAGCATGTTGTTGACGGCCACCTCCTCCTCCTTCGTGTCGGGCGCAGGTGTCACATGAAACGAGTAAAACCGTTGACTTTGTATGAGAGCGATGTGCTTGTACAGTCAGAGGGCGACGTGCTGAGAGGAGGCTGACCTAGACTGTTTTTTTTAAGGTTATCTGAGGCGTGAAAGATTTGTGAGAAAGGTCAAACTGGGATAACTTGGAGGATATTACATCCAAAATTCCATTGTGCACATTTTCACAGGTAAGAAACACCTTCAACCTGAGTGCAAATAGAAACTTTAGAAATTCATACATCCAAGATATAAGGTCATAGTGCTGAAATAATCATGCAAAATCCTCCAAACGTGACCTCCAAAAGACCTGAAACTGAAACCAATGACACAATTTGCACAAAGCGCCATCTGGTGGTTGAAAAGAGTGAAATAATAAGCACATAAAAGACAAGTTTAGTTTATTGGGAAAGTAGAATTTATCCTCCCGAGGACCAAGCTTTGATCCTCCTCTCTGTAACTTTATCTGTACAGGATCCAGGATCAGCCGTCAGCGCCTGTAATCATGAACTTCAAACCTTGTTGATATTCGTCTCACCTCCACCCCACCCCACTTCTCCACAGCTGCGGCGAAGGCCACTGGAAGCACTACAAGCAGACTGTGATTAAAGCTGACTGGGCTCTGCGGACGTGACCCGGCAGCCGATACGAGGGGAGCGCCGCCGACAAAGAGGCGAGGCGGGAGAGGGGAAGAGTCTTCACATGTCTGGGATGAAAGATGGAAACAGAGAGGCGGCCTCGGTTTTCTCACAGGCAGCCTTCACCTCATCATCACCTTTTGCCATTTTCAAACGCATGAAAGCGCCGCAGACGGGTTTTCTGACTATGAAGTCATCTCAGGGCTCGGTTTCAGACATCGCACCTGTCAACAGATATACCGATCGATACTTTCTGAAAAGGGAAATGAAGAATGAGAAGAATGGGGACACTGTGGACATGAGCTGGTCGTGTTAGTGACTCTCGCAGACACTTGAACTTAAGCAGACTTTCTAAGAGGAGTGATTGGCCTGTTTTGACATCAGAGTTAAAAATATAAGAACTTCTCATCACAGCTCACCAGAGACATGAATATGACCTGCAGCTCTGATTAAAACTGCGACCAATGATACTTTGTTGCTGGACCTACAGTTACAACTACAAAACCCAATTCCAATGAAGTTGGGAAGATGTGTAAATCGTAAATAAAAACGTAATACAATGATTTGCAAATCCTTTTCAACCCATATTCCATTGAATTCACTACAAAGACAAGATATAATTAACTTTAGAATTTGATGGCTGAAACACGTGACAAAGAAGTTGGGAAAGGTGGCAAAAAATACTGATTTGAGGAATGCTCATCATTCTCCAATTTGGAACATCCCACAGGTGAGCAGGTTAATTGGGAACAGGTGGGTGACATGATTGGGTTCACCACTTTGTGAACAACTGCGTGAGCAAATAATCGAACAGTTTAAGAACAATGTTTCTCAAAGTACAATTGCAAAGAATTTAGGGATTTCAACATCTACGGTCCAGAATATCATCAAAAGGTTCAGAGAATCTGGAACCAACATTGAACGCCCGTGACCTTCGATCCCTCAGGCGGCACTGTATCAAAAACCGACAACAATGTGTAAAGGATATCACCACATGGGCTCAGGAACAGTTTAGAAAACCACTGTCAGTGAATACAGTTCGTCGCTACATCTGTAAGTGCAAGTTAAAACTCTACTATGCAAAGAGAAAGACATTTATCAACAACATCCAGAAATGCCGCTGGCTTCTCTGAGCCCGAGCTCATCTAAGATGGACTGATGCAAAGTGGGAAAGTGTTCTGTAGTCTGACGAGTCCACATTTCAGATTGTTTTTGGAAATAGTGGACGTTGTGTCCTCCGGGCCAAAGAGGAAAGAGAAGGTAAAAGGAAAAGAACCAAGCAACGCCTGCTCATTTCAGCGAGACAACGCCAAGCCACATTCTGCACGTGTTACAACAGCGTGGCTTCGTAGTAAAAGAGTGCGGGTTCTCGACTGGCCTGCCTGCAGTCCAGACCTGTCTCCCATTGAAAATATGTGGTGCATTATGAAGCGTAAAATACGACAACGGAGACCCCGGACTGTTGAACAACTGAAGCTGTACATCCAGCAAGAATGAGAAAGAATTCCACCTTCAAAGCTTCAACAATTAGTCTCCTCAGTTCCCAAAAGTTTATTGAGTGTTGTTAATCCAATCCAATCCATTTTATTTATATAGCACGATTTAAACAAACACAAGGTTTCCAAAGTGCTGCACAGCAAGATAAAAATACAGTAACAGAACAGAAGCACAATAAAACAATGAAGATAAAATAAAGTTAGATCAAAACACAGTACAATAAAAAAAAGCAAATAAAATCCATAAAAGACAATAAAATGAAATCAACCTCCTACTCGTATTGTTAAAAGGAAAGGTGATGTAACACAGTGGTAAACACGCCCCTGTCCCAACTACTTTGTCATGTGTTGCCGCCATGAAATTCTGAGTTAACTATCATTTGCAAAAAAAATAAAGTTCATGAGTTTGAACAATAAATATCTTGTCTTTGTATTCAATTGAATACAGGTTGAAAAGGATTTGCAAATCATTGTATTCTGTTTTTAATTACGTTTATCACAATTTCCCAACTTCACAGAATTGGGTTTTGTACAGCAGATGAATGGCAGCTGAACTGTTAAAACATAAATACTCTGGTTTGTAGGTTCAAGTGTGTTTATGTGCATCCTCCGTGGAGCTTACTCACTCCTCTCTACGAGCCGGGTCTATTTTTGTAGCAGCGTGCACACTCGTAGACTAAAACGCACTTGTTGAGGAGAATAAAAGCCTGTATTTGTTGACAGCTGACATCACATTTATATTTCATCCCGCATTTCATTTCCTTTTTGACTTTGCCGTTATCTACCTCTATCTCTGTCATCTATCTCTATTATTTCCCCTCCTGCAAAAACTGGCTGTTTAGATCCAGGCTGGATGGATGGAATAGGTTAAATGCAGCGATCGTAAATGAGCTGCAAATGTATATATTTATTTTTTTTTCGTAATTGTTTATAGAGCGCAAAAATGTCTGAAAAGCAATTTGAAAAAATTGTGGGTCTGCCTGCTCTTCCAACATCTTTAGTGGACATTTGCGCTGCATGATGACACGTTTGATGACAGACTGTTGTGATATTTTGCCCCGGAGGTGTCTAAAATCACATATTTCTATATTCTCTTGACTTTTGTTGGCATGTTTACAGCTGCGTACATTTTCCAATATCTATTAGAGCAAACAGCTGGAGGCTTTTTGAGATTGTTTTCTCTGTCCATTACACTGTGTCCGTACTCCAGATGCATTTCATTGTGCTGTCTTCCATTCAGAACAAGCTGCCACTGTTTGTGATAGCGTCACACGAAGCCTCCAGGGTTATGACTCGTTGCAATGACCTCCAGAGCAGAGATTGAAAAAAAACTACAAACAAATGATAAATCCTTTAAAAGTGAAAGTAAAAGTAGAAGTAAAAAACTTACAAACTTAAACTCTAGGAACTTTTGTTTTGTGTCAACTTTGGCGCCCCCTGTGGATAAAGCAGTTTCTGATGATCTTGTCCTTTACATATTTAAACAGCATTTTCTGACATAAATCTCATCCTGCTGACTTTGGACATTCAAATGTTTCATTTCTTGTGAATATTTTGTAAAGAAACTGTAAAAAAAAAGTCTGATTTTCCCAATGCTCAGCTGACAAAATGAAAATTGCCCGTCTTGTTTTTGGCGTTCTTGTTTGCTTTTATGTATCATGAAAACACACGAGTCTATTTCATGAATGTCTCAATCTTGTGTTGCTAAAGTAGGAAACTAAAGAAAATGACAAAGGTCAGAGAAACTTCAAATGCATCGCAATCACTCGACAGCTTTCCTCATTAATCTGTTTTGTTGTCGTTTCTGTCACCGTAACTCTCTACTATGTGATTTTCACAGCTTGAATCTTGTCTCGTAGAGCCCATCCACTCTGGGTTGATGTCAGACTTAATGTGAGGGGAAGGCCAAGCTCAGTGCTGCAAAGTTAAAATTCATTCAATTATTCATTCCACCTTTATTTGATCTTGAGGAATCACTGAGGGCATGCCGCCACTTAAAATAACATCAGGACTACAATTAAAATGAAAGAGGAAATACTGGCTCACTCAAAAGAGCTCCAAACAGAAGAGAGGTGCTGGTATTTCATTCACGAGTCTTAGCTTTGATGCCTTTGATATTAAAGACAGTAAAAAAACACCAAAACAAACAAAGAGGGATAGTAAAGTAGCAAAAAAAGCAAAGTGTAAACTGTACGGTGGAAAAGATATGGTGTGTAAACTACATGAAC